TGCACAAGAGATTATATCCTTGTGATGTAAAGTCATACTGTGGAGCCTCACAGAGGAGCTTTGGACACCAGTTAAATACACACTGTGTTTAAGTGCTGTTGGACACACCTTAGAGATAAGGACCAAAACTGCAATCTCAATTTGATATTCTTTTGGAAGCCAATTTAGGGACTGGAAAGCATTAGAAAAAATATACAGACCACTGTGTCAGCTGAAAAACTGTGTTTAGCTATTTCTCATAGTAAAGAGAGTGCCACTTGTATCTTTCTAACTTCAATAAGTTCCTGGGGTTATCAGAGAACATCAGTTTTGCTGTATGCTTTAACCAACCTCAGTAGTTTCATAAATTAAAAACATAATTATTTGGCATGCTCAAAATTCCACCACAAATTCAACTTTCTTCAAGAAACTTTCTTGAAAATGAGGTTCATGCGGTTTTCCTGTCAGGCTGCACTGAGAATTAGTAAATCGTCTTCACTTCAATCTCTTTTATTTCAGTCTGGTTTCACAAGCATGTCTCAGCCACTCCTTGCCTTGAGTAATGACCCTCACAGAGTGACAAGACACAGCATGTCTGCAGGTTTTGCTGCTGTCAGATGGGCTTCAGAGAAAAGGTGCTATCTCTGGAGACCATGTGCACCATCTCTGACACACTTTTGTTTCAACTGGCTGAGGAAGTGGTAGGACTTGGAAAAAATACTATACTAAAGTTACTACAGTGGCCAACTCAGGTTCACATTCTGCAGCACAGGTTTGTTTGTTACTCTCCAAACACTGCATCTGCAGAAATCAAGTTAACTGTGGATATTTTACAGGCTAGCACCAGTACTTCCTGCAGTATTTTTCTAGTAATAAAAAAAAAATAAAAATAAAAAGGTTTAAGGTATTTTCCAGGACCATCCTACAGGTTCCAGCATATGTTAGAAGTATTGAAAAAAATCAAATGCTTGCCAATTTAAGGTAAAGTGTAAGACTTCACTGATTCCATTTCATGGCAATGTAGGTCTGCTTTTAACTGTTCCCTGTGTTATGTAAGTGCCTAGCTTTTAAAGTCTTGTTTTAAAAACAAGAAGTAAGTAAAAGAGCATGTCTGCATACCAAACTGATGATCTTTTCTTAGAACTAAACAAGTTATGCTCAAAGTTGTTTTTCTTTGCCATTAAATGATGGGTTTCACTGCTCTGGATGGTATAGTACTTGATACACCATACTTTGGAGAAAGGTATTTTGAGTTATGTTTTTTCATGTTTTCCTAATAGGGTGCTATAATTTATAAAAAATATGTTCCTTGGAGTCTCTATTAAAAAGATATAGATAATGGACTGAGAAACATAGATCATGAATGTTGTGAAAAATCTATAAAAAGAGTCATTCCTTCTTACTTGGTATTATTTAGCTGCTCTGTTTGGTGCTTTTATTTCTGTGCAGTTTCAGTGCAGGCTGTCTTACTCATGTATCTTTCAAAGTTCACTCAAATTTCTAAAGGATTTTTTGTTTAGAATGGCAGTGAGCCAAGAGACTAGCTGAAGTCATATATGGGAAAAAAAAATCACTACAAAACATTCCTAACTTTTTTGTGCTGTCTGATTATTAATTTTGGGACCAGTTGAGCTCCCATTTGAAACCCAAGTGTGGCAGCTCTACACGCTGATCCTCCACACCTGGGCTGCAGGCACTATTTTGAGTTCATGGCTGCCATAGAGAAACATCAGGAGAATGTAGAAATTTTTCGCTTCTTAGAGACCAACCAACATTTTGAGTTCTGGAAACTGGAAATTAGTTGGCTAAAAGGTAGCACGTACCATCTTCTTTTCAGGCAACAGGATTGTGGTTTAGGGGTTTCCTATGAAAAATCCATGCAAATACTTTCTACAGTAAATATAAATTATTCAAAACCCGAATTTTTCACTGAGAGTTTTGTCAATAAATTCTTAAGCAGATTTGCTTGAGCAAAAAGTAGCTGTGCTTTCACTCTTCCTTTGCAATTAGTCCCACATGGTACAGTCCATGAACTGATGATATATGCTCTAGTCCTGAGCGGTTTTGAGACTGCCTTCTTCACCATCCAAAAATTAGCCCGTTTTGATGTAAGTTTGAAAACATCTCATTGTGCTGCTGCACAGGAGACAGGGAAGTGGTACTGTTTTATTAGCAGGTGACAGGATAGCCAAGTTCTGTGATGAGCTGGGATTACCACCTTGGACATGAAGCTACTGCTAGGGGAAGATCCATTTAGGCATGTTCAGTGTCCCCAGTATGTCTGGTAACTCCATAGTAAAACAGGAAGTTCAAATCAGGTCAGATGATAGCTGATCAGATAAATATCAAGTTGTAACTGCAAGCACCTCTATAAATGGCACACTTCTATTTTCTAGTTAGGCAAAAGATGGCATGCTTGGTATTTTCTTCCTTCCTTCCTCCTCGTCTCTTCCTCACATTTGAGAATCTGCTCACGGAGGCATAGCATCTGGGACAGGTTGTGTGTTTGTTCCAGTCTCGGAGCAGGTTTGGAAGCAGTGTCACACAGCCTCAAGGAAAAGAACAGAAGGATTAGAAGAAGCAGTGAGAAAGCCCTATACCTCCAGGCTTTCTCCTGGAAACAGAGATGAGTGGGATAAACTACTGTCTGGCTTCAGAGCACCCTTAGTCCTCCTGGAGTGGCAAACGCTGGAGAAGAGCCTACCAAAGATTTTCCAGAGTCTTCTGCCTTCTTCCTTTTCCTTCCAGTCAGATAATCTGTCATTTCAGGGTCACAGCAAAGATTATTAGGGCCTATGGCTCTGGGATGCCCTGCCAGCAGTTTCACACAGCTCTCCAGCTCTCAGAAATTGATGTGACTAAAATGCATTTCTGCCCTCCGAACATAATTTGTTCCTAGTTACTTTCTGCTGTCTGAACCTTCCCTGAATTCCACACCCTCCCCACATTATGCCTTCTAAGATAAATATACTGCTTAAATCTTTCCTGCCATAGCAATCAGGTTTTCTGTCCTTTGCTCCATATGGTTGCCTTATTAGTCAATGGTGACCCTCCCTTAATAGGCTTTTCCTTTATTTCTCTATTCTTCACTTTTACTGGTAGTTAGGCAAATCTCAAAAAAGATATGCAGGCTCCAAAAAAGATATGCAGTTGTATGCTACAAATTTGACCTATCAACTTTAATTCATTCTATAGTAGCATGCAAAGTTCTGTTGTTCCAGCCTCTAGAATTTAAAAAGGTTTTGTATATCCTTAATCGTGGCCAGTGAGTTTCGCCATGGAAAAAAGTGCGTCTATTCAGGCTGTTGGCAAACCAAGTGCAGCATATCATTAGATGTTCCCTACTGCCTTAGAATGTTAATTTTAATAATTTATTGGAAGTTTGTGCAATTACAATGGATGACTTTTAAAAAGAATCATATACCATTTCCTTAGTATTGATTTTACAGCATCATTTCCTATTTTTGGAATACTAAGTGAAGTATTTAAACTTTACTGTGGCTTCTGCTTGCACTTTGAGTGACATCCACTGAAGATGAAATTTTGGCCAAGCTGTTAAAAGGATGGTTGCCGTGCATATATGGATTTGGGTGGGTTTTTTTGGTGATTTATTGTTCCATAAGATAAGTATTGAATCCAGCTTAACTCTGGTCGATATTTACTTCTTGAGTCAATAAATCTTGATATTTATTTCAACTGAAATCAATACCAGCTTCGTATTGTATTCATTCACTTGAGATTGTTCAGTGAAGATCATACTCTATCTATACTTTTAAATTTAAAAATATTGCAAACAATATAAGGTCTAAATTTATTTCCTCTTTGCTAGCTTTACCAGTATGATTTCACTGAGCTCTGTTCTGCTTTCTGCCATGTTAAGGACGTGCTGTGTTTATGTTCTTTTGCTGTGTAGATTAAGCCCTCGTTCCAGTAACCATGAGGATGATCAGGCTTTTTGCAGCTGTGGGAGCAGTGGCTGGGTGGAGCTGTTCTGAGAACAGGAAGGAATAAGTGAGACAATAGACCTGGTTGAGCAAATCCAAATGGCTCCTGGCTCTTCTCTTTGTGTGCTAGGGTCAAGAGATCTGTCTGGCATTTAAGGTGACATTAATGCCATTGTTTCTCATGGCATACTTAAGAGTTTTATTTTTACAGTAAGTAGTGAATAATCCCTCACTGTGAGGGCAGCCTGAACGTTTTCATTTTGCTGTAAAACGCTGATTTGAGGATTGTTGAATTGTTATAGCAGATATGGCTACTGCTGGCTTGCTCCTTGGCTCTCTGGATACAGCGCTTCATTGCTTCCTTGCACCTAGCAGTTGCCTCCCGGGGAAGTGTGAAAAAGCTGCTGTATGGGGAACATCGAAAAACGTGAACAGGTAGCAAGAGAGCAGAGCAGGCTCCGGTGTTCAGCACACATCAAGTGCTGCTAGCTGAGGGTTTCAGTCTATGGCTGGATGTT